GGCCCCATCTGTTGGACGAATCCCTCCAGCCCCAAAACCGCAGGCGCGCGGCGAGCCTCGGCCGCAAACCGGGCTCGGAACCGGTTTCAGAGGGCTCTGGTCATAGGACTGTCCTTTCCTTGCCTCTTAAAAAAAGAAAAAACGTTTCTCAACTTTTTGGGGGTAACATGGGCTATATGTCTGTAAAAGACTAACAAAAAAAAACTGTTCGTAACTTTTTGGGGGCAACGTGGGCTATATGTCTGTAAAAGACTAACTTTCAACTTTTTGGGGGCAACGTGGGCTATATGTCTGTAAAAGATGAGAACTTCCCCAGGTTGCTTGGAGTTTGACGGTGCAAGTTTTTTGGTTCACGGCTTGCTTTAAAAAATAGGCTTGGGCCTAGATGGGGTTGCTGCCCCATTTACCAGGGAAACCCATCTATTTTTGGAACTAAACAATAGAGGGCGATTCCTGGTCTAGATGGGGTTGATGCCCCATTTGCCAGGGAAATCCATCTAGTTTTGGAACTAAAAAATAGAGGGCGATTCCTGGGCCGATGGGGTTGCTTCCATTTACCAGAAAACCCATCTATTTTTTCCAAAAGGCCAACCTATGCCTCTTGTGTCTTCAGCCAACGTCAGGTAATTACCTGAAGCCTCAACAAGTTGCACGGGATCTTGTCAGGCGTGTACCTTCCGGCCCTGTTATCATTCCTCAGGTTTCCCGGGAAAATTCCTTTAACTTTCAACACTGGGTTGTGGCCCTAAATATTTGGGGTGAGCACATTTTCTTCCATGGGTAGTTTGAGGGTCCAGGTAGGTTCTAACTATGGTAGGTGGTTGGCAACTGGGGGTGATTGTCCCCATACCTTTGTGATAACCTACTTCCGTAGTTTGAGCACTCAAGTTTCAACTTTGAATTTCCGGTTCCATGAGCATCTGTAGGAGGCAGTTCGCCGGGAGTTGAGCCCCGGCGTGGCGTTCCTCGTGCTGTCCACCGTGGTGATGTCCGCCTACGCCATTGCCTCGGGAGATGCATCTCTCGGGGTCGTCTCAAGAGCAAAACTTCACCCCCGGTACCCATGAAGGATTGGAGCGAACCCAAGGGGTCCCCAAAGGTGCATCCTGAAGGGGTGCCCCAGCGATCGGTGTTACCAGTGCCATCCAACTGGTGGTTTCCTTTAGGGGAATGAAGGCAGGGGAATGCAGGGACCCCCAGGTTCATTCGAACTCATTCCCTACCTAGGTCCCCCAGCGATAGGTGCCCTTTCTCGCCCGTTTCTTTTTTGGGGGAGGGTTCCCCTACTAAAATAGACTAATTTCAGAAACAGGGTACCCTTATTCTAACTTCTCTACTGGAGAACCTAGTCATATTTGCTGACAACAGCACAACACCCATGGGGGAGCGGCTGGTTGTTGAAGAAAGCTTGGTTGAACAAAATGAAACAGAAATCAACCCTAGAACCCCAAAGGGTCCCAAAGAGCACCTCATATGTTTGCAGACGTTTTGTCAAACTCTGTTGGCAAATCCCCCGTTTTCACCCAAACCCCAAGACGTAAATATGGGTGCCACAGGGAGTTCTGGGGAAAGGATCTACACCTGGTATTCTTGGGACTAGGCTTGACAAAGAAACAACTTTTATCATTTAGCCAGACATAGGTTCGGGTATTCCCCCTCTTCCTTCTTTGCATGAGTGTGAGACCATGTTGATTGGGTGTTGTGTTGTAGATAGGTTTGATGCGCAGGTGGTATTCCCAGAGGGTCCCTCAGGACTTTCTGATGCGCTTGAGCCACTCGGCACCCCTTCGGGAGTAATGTCGATGTTGTGATGAGCCCTCCAAGGCTACCAGCAAGAGATCTACCAGCAGCTAACATGGAAGTGCACAGGTCTTCTGTAGAAAGACGACTTTCCTCTTGGCAAGGGCCTTTTTGTACTTCCATGTTAGTTGGTGGGAGGGGAAGTTGTTTCCCTAAACAATGTATGAACCCCGGGTTTTTTCAATAGGGGGATGTCCGAAGGGTGAAATGTGGGTGGAACCGGACCACTTTTGGAGGGAACCACCGCTAAATCAATAATCATTCATATGGGGTCGACATGATACTGTGGATGGACGAAATCCTGCACCATACCAACAAACAATGGCTTCCCATTCTTTCAAAGTGGTGCACTTGCCCCAAGCCCAGTTGACCTTTGACCTTTTCAAGATGTGCCCGTGTCTTCGCCGTTTCCTGTGGTATTCTGTTGAGGGTCCAGGTCAGTACCAAAGGGGCGCTCAAAGCACGGGCCGTAAGGCACTTCTTGGGTGTTCCACTTAGTACGTAAGTCTCCTTATAAGTATGGTTGCAAGCTAAGTAGCTTAAACACCCCAAGTAGGGAATAAGCGCACTTGCCCAAAGCTTTCGGATCTGCCTTTGACCTTTTAGTGTCCACGTTCCAAAGGTGTCCACTACCTTTGGTGTCCACTGACTTGTGCAAATGAAGCTGTTTTTAGTTTGGACATCTAGTTGGAACCCTTTTGAACCCCTCTTGCTGGCCAGCCCCTCTAAATTCACAGGATTCAACCCTAGACTCTAGACCTTCCCATGAGGAAGGCCGTCTCAGGCCTCATTTGGTTCTGGAAGAAGCCAGGAGAGTTTCAGGAGCCTCAAAGTGGGGCACTTCTGCGGAGCCCGGGCTTGATGATTTATGGGTTGCAGCGGAGGAAGTGCCTAAGTCTGTGTTCTTTTTCCCAAACAAGGACACCCAACAGACATGAATTTGTGCTGAGTTTTTGCAGCACCCCCTTATGTTACACTTTAATAAGATGACTCCTTCCTTGGCTTTTCTAGTGCCTGTGGTTTGGACAGTTTTGGAAGGAACACCGCAAGGAAACACCATCTTTGGGGCTGCCACTTTTCAGACACGGCCACTTAGACGTTCATCTACGTCTACTTCTGGGTCTGCGGGGCGCTACTTGGCAATCAATCGAGCGAATGGGTCAGATTCGGCTGCGGTTCATTCGGCTGCTGGCCGTTTTCTGGGCAACGGTCAAGATTTCCCGTCACCTAGTTCCCCAACAACATGTCCTTCCATTTGATTGATGATATGATGTATTTTCCGTTGTTGGTGTTGAAGGGAATCTAGCGCTACTGTTGTTTTTGTTTGTTTCTTTTTTTCAGGCGGCTGAAGCAACTGGAAGTTTCAAATGCCCCAATGGTGGATTCCTCCAATTGTCGCACCCTCTTGGCGCTCTTCAAAGGAGAAGGCCATCAGAAAGAAACGCTAGCCTGTTCCAGACTTTGGGCCGAAACCGCCAGGTAATTGCGGCAAAACACGCCATGGGCGCGGTCTCCAGTTCCTTCTGTCGTAGGGAACCAGGAGGTTTTATCCTGTAGGTTGTACATGAAAAGGTTCTTTGGGTAATCCTAGGGTCAACATCTTTTGGTGCCTTCCATTTGCTTAAGAAGGGAAATCATATGTCCACCTGGAGTCTCCATGACCCTCAAAAGAATGGTTGGTCATTACCCAAAAGAATGGTTGGTCATTGACCGTTTTTTTAGTCTGGGTGAGAAGGAGACTCGAGGCAGTAGTGATAGATTCAGAGATTCTTACCTCTTAAAAACACAACTGTTCAACTTTTTGGGGGTAACCTGGGCTATACGTCTGTAAAAGATGAGAACTTCCCCACGGGTTGGAGTTTTAAGGGGTAAGTATTCTGAACTTTTCGGGGGCTGCCGGAACTGAAAAGCTGCAGGGGCTCGAAGTCCGGCTCGAGCCTTGAGGTTTGTGCTTGCGAGCGCGCTCCACGAAGGCGTCGAAGCGAATGCGCGGGAGAGGGAGAGGTCGAGCTTGGGGCTCCAGATCTTTTCTTTGGTGATTTTGCCAAGGGATGTTAGGACTGAATAACTGTTTTTCGACTTTAGTGGGTTTTCCGTATTAAGCCACTAAAAAAAAACTGTAAGCAGGGGAGCAGAAAGCCGCCGAGCTTTGATTCAGCTTCTGGAAGACGAGCCCAGAATTTCTCACCTCATCAGATCGATCGGACGCCATGGAGCTCCTACCAAGTGGCGAAACGCCAAGCACTGGGCTGTTGGTTACACAAGTTCATATCCAAGAAGAGGGTGTTTTTTTTGGGTTGCCTGTGGTCTCCTTTTTCAAAACCAAGAAACCAAAAGAGAGACACCAGTATAGGACCCCCCAATCATTATCACATGGTTTGTTCGAGCCATTGGGAGGGGTCCTGGTAGTGATAAATGGCTCAATAAGCGGCAAACAATTTTTGCAACTGGCGATTTCCAGGTGTTACAAACGAGCTCCTTTTGGTTTCCTTTGGGAGGGCGGATTCCATAGGTCGATTTGTGCAGCCAAGAAGAGGGAGTAAATGACTTTTTCCCATGGAATCCACGCGGGTCCAGGTACCTTAGGATGTTCGAGGACCCTTTAGACAGGGAAGCTACGAGTCAATATTTTGGATTGCCATTCTGGGTAAGGACAACCCAAGAGCACCACCAAAAAGGAAAGCCACCATTTTGGAATCCCCCAAAAGAACCAAAAAGGAAAGCCACCATTTTGGAGGGGTCCCCCAAAACAACCAAAAAGGAAAGCCACCCCCCAAAAGACCGGGGGGTCCAACCCTTAAAAAGACACGGGGGCCCCACGTGGATTTCCCGCAGGCGACCACTGCAGCCCCGAGCTCCTCGCTTGGCTCGCGGCAGCGCTGCTCCAGCCACTCTTCCACGGCTTGGATCTCGGAGATCCCCCGCTCCAACCGCTTCGCTGGCCTCAGGGAACAAAAAAAATGTGGCCGAAGCGAAGCGGCCGATTTCAGGGCTCCAAAAAAAAAGATCTCCATGGTGTGTATACTTGCATGTTCGAGCTATGTAAGTAAGTTATAACCATGGCAATGGGACGATCACCCAGTAACCAACCACTTGCCCTGGCTACATAACCTGCTTGCCTGACGTTGCTTGAATGTCCAAGTTATATCTCCACCCCCGCGTTTTTTGCTGCTTTCCCAGAGGCTCCAAGTACCTCATATCTGCGGAAAGTGGACTTTGGCGGACCTTAACGGACCGTGATCACGGTGCAAAAACGGTTTCGAGGAATTCCATCAGTTCCATTTGGTGGGAAAACGGACCCCACCCCGCTCAGGCCCTGGCCCCCTAACGCACTGCCTGTTGCACAGGATACCACCTAGCCCCTACGTTCGGCTTTTAGCCATCAGAGACTCGATTTCTCGATGCATCCCACTTGTGTCCAGAAAGTAAAAAAGAAAAACATGGCATTTCTCACTTGGCCAGACCTTTTGACCTTTTGACCTGTTGGTTTCCCCCTTTTTGGTCCATTCTTAGTCATGAGTCATGGTCGAGGTTCCCCAACAGCAGATTCCGCGTAGCTTTGTTGAGGGGACCCTATCCAGGATGCGTGTAAATTTATGGCAGTGTAGCTTTGGCTGTTAGGAACTTAGAGGGGCAGGGTACTTAGTAAGTGGTTAGTTATAACCCACTTAAGAAAACTTACAAGTGGGCTACAACCATGGTTATTTCTCACTTGCCAAGTACCCTGCCCCTTTAAGTACGACCTTTCACCTTCTGGACGTGTTAGCAATTTTCTGCCTGCACGTGCGGTCTTTGACCCCAAAGCCCCTGAGACGCTTTGGAAATAAATGGCTTTTTCAGTAAACTTACAAAGCCGGGTTTCCAGTTACCGCTATAGTAGGCACCAGGCAAAACCATCATGTAAAACCTGAAGGTTGCCATACCCTGGCTACCTACCATAGTGTTAACTGGAAGCACTGGGAAAGGTTAGACCTTTTCCTGAGGAGAGAGCAAACCAAAAGGAAGTGTCACTGTTTGCTGTGGGTCGAAGACCAGCGGTAGCAAACTGTGGCTCAGGGCGCCAGCAACGGCGGAAACACCACTAGGCTTCACTAGGCCTTTTCGACGCTATTAGCCAGGGACAACGAGTTCCAAGAAAAGGGTTTCGATCGCTTGCACCAAAGGACAATCGGGTGTAGCATCCTGCCACTTTAATCCATGCACTTGTTGCATCCTCTTTTGGGATTACCCAAATTAGGCCCTGTCGGGATTATATACATACCCTCCCACCATCGTAGCATCTCACAGAGAATCCCTTTGAAAGGAAATTGTTCACCCTCCCACAGCTGCTATGGAAGGCTAGGTGATTTGCTGGAGGCTATTCTGGGGGGAGGGGGGGGGCGGGCTTAAGGATGGCGAGAGGCATTCGGCAAAGTGCGCTTTCATGCAGCGAAGACTTCGCCAACTGAGGCTTGGTGTCTGTGTCTGTTCCTGAAGCCATGTGCACCTTGGCGGAAATCAGTTAGTCCTTTTCCGCTGAAAGAATGCAGAAGAAGGGTTCACTTGAAAAAGGCTACACACTATGAAACAGCCGAAGGAAGGTTCTGGCCAGAAAACGGCGAGTTAACTCGATTCGAACCACTGCAACAACAGCTATCGCAAGCGAATACTGTGAGTGGACAAAATCCTGCACCACTTGGGATAGATGAAACCCTATAAATACTGGGATAAGCCACTCACAGTACGATTGTGGATTTTCCAGCAATAAGAGGGGCCCTCAACATGGTCTTTTTCGGTTTCCGCGTGATGTCTTGTTCGTGGTACCTATGTTTTGGGGTGTCCTTTTTGGCTTCCTCTTGCATGTCCCATTTCTTGGTTTCCATCTGGTTGTTGGTTCGGCTTTCGACGCCATGAGGGGGGTTCAGGCGCCTCCTTTGGTACACCGTTTCAGGGTGTCGCCTCAGTTTCCAGCTTTGGTGGTGCCAGTCCTTTAACTTACCCCCTACTCCAAAGCCTTTTGGTTTAAGTGTATTTGTTTGGAAAGCCTGGTTTTCCAGGGTAAACACATCATGTTTTGGTACAGGGTCGACGTCATACCCTTAAAGTGGGTATTGGGCGGCAGTATATTCCTCTTTTTTAGCCTCCCAGGAGCCATGCGATTCCAGCAGACTGCAGCTAGGAGCCCAAAGTAGAGAATTAGTATTGCTCAAGCTAGCAATCTCCCAAGATGCATGCGCTTGCCATATATTCACGGTCTTGGGTTTGGTGAAACAGGAGATTCGCCATTTACAGATTCCTCAAATCCGCACATATGGCCGTGGCTAAAAAAGGGGTACCGAAATGGCACCTTGGTAGATGGAACCAAAGACCAAAACCTGCGGAACCGTAGCTCTGTAATTTTGCCCTCTGGGCTGCTACTCCACCTGGAGGCTTTTGCATCGAGCCAGTTCATCCCGGTGTTCAACTTTTGCCATTGGGAAGAGTGTCCGGTAAAAAACCTGGGGTGGACTTAGGAGACATTTTACATTTTGCCAGTGACTCAAAATGAAGCGAGCAATAAGATATACATTCTATAACTGGGCCTAACTCTAATCATGAAATCTGCCAACACCATGCGCTTTTTGAGTCATTTCTTGGATGTTTCAAGGCTTCCGAGAAAGCAGCAGGTCTTACCTTCAGAGTTTACATCTTGGCGTGCCCTGGTTCTCTACTATAGTGGCTTGCCTAGCATCACTGCTTGGGGTCTTGCTTTGATGTCAGCCAGTGGCTACTGGACGGCCACAGATACAGAGTCAGCTGATGAAATTATGAATTTGGAGCCTGCCACCTGGCGAGTTGTAAACATATGACCAAACTAGATATCGACGGGTTTGCCTTCTTCTGTTGTTTGTTTCGAAGGGACACCAAAAGGACGACATAGTTGTCTTTTCCAAGTTTGACACACCTGCACTGGGTACCATTAGCTGAGGAATTCATATTGTGGATGGACAGAATCCATTTCGCCCACTTGGAAGCCATGGTTGAAACCAGAACGTTTGTTGGTATTTACCGGGGAATCATCCGAAACCAGGGTTTCTTAGGTGGTGCGAAATGGATTTCGTCCATGCACAGTATGACCAAACTAGATATCGACATGCTGGTGGTTTCTGTGCGGCCAGCGTATCGCCTTACCCTTACATACCCCACATAACGTTTGGACCCCCAGTTCAGCGGACACATATGGTGCGGGTGTCAAACAGCAATTCCCCAGACAGCCTTCCTCAGGGGCCTTTGTCAGCTGTCCTCAGACCAACTCATCCCAATTGAACATGCAACAGCTGGCTGCTCAGCAATGTTGACCATATTAATCAGCTTCAGCAATTTGTGGCTTTACCATTTCATCATAATGGCTGAATCGATGCGGGAAAGCATTTCACATGACATGGGGCTTTACACATCTCATATGCATGTGCATATTAGCAGGAGGGACCATGTGAAGTCATGTTACTACAGCTGGCTTCGTGTTTCTGGGGACCAGATGTGGTGACACGACAGCTCGAGTTCAGGCAGCCAATGCATGAGCTGGCTCTATTCCCTTGGTCGGGTGCCTCCAGTCGGGTGTGGCCTCGCGTTTTTGAGGCAAAAGGTACGTTTTTTTTTTGTGGCATGGTTTCTAGGTCCACCAGCTAGGTGCCCTTTCTCACCCTTTTTTGGTCGGGGTCCCCCTACTAAAATCGACTACAGAAAAAAAATGGGTAGCAACTTCTTCTAACCTCTCTACTGGAGGAAGGAGTTAATCCCGGGGACGCCCAAAGGAAACCGAAGCCAAGGCCAGCTCCTTGTCGAAGGAAGTGGGCCCTGAGTTGTGCCAACCCTTGCCCAGCAGAAAAACTGATGGGCCCCGTTCTTTGGACTCAAAGCTGAAGGCACGGTGGTTAGTATATTGGGAAAGGCGGATCTTTGGCCCAGAACGCACTGCTTTTGGAGTAAAGTTCTACCCAGACCTGCGGTGGTACCCCTCTTTGTGGAGGGTGCTATCCGCTTTGAAAGCAACCAAACAAAGGCGGCTCCTATTTTTTTCATGGCTGGCCCAGGTTATGTTTCGCATCTATTGACGGCCCTACAGCCACATGGCTTTAGGACGCACCTGCCACAAAAGGACCCGGTCAAACCTTCCGAGCGCGCATCGCTCTTAACCTGAATTCTTCTCGGAAAATACAGCCATTGATTTGGCCAGAGCACCACCTCACATGTGATCGATGGCCATGTCTCCTGACCTAAATGACGTCCACCAAAGGGTCTCATATTGAACATGAAAACAGAATCCGAGAATCTCAGTTACTGTTCCTGAGTTATCTTTGGTCCATGTGGGAGCTACATTGGGGAGGAGAGCCCTTGATTCCCCATAGGGCACTCACAAAGAATGTCCTATGTCCTCTTAGGTGAACAAGTAACTTTGACCGAACTCAGTGACTTCCCCACTAAAACACCGCCACCACCCAGTCTGTTGGGCTCCGGGCGACCCGGGTCAAAGGGCTGAGCACAGGGGGAAATGGGGTTGAGCGTATGAATCATCTCTAGTCAAGGCCCCTGTTAGCTAACCCAAGAATTGTCCTTGGGTTTGGGGAATCATCACTATTGGATCTCCTCCAATTCGACCTGCCACCAAGCTCTCCACCTGGCATACGAGGCCAAGGGCTTTGAAGATCGGAAGTCTTGTGGTTTATCTTAACGGGGTCGCCGCAACGGGTTTGGATGTCAGGCAGGTTCAGGCAGAAACAAAACAGCCGAAAGCAGCCCGATCAACCGGATGTGCTGAGAGGTAAACTTTACCAGGAGTCTCCTTCTGACCCCAAATACAAGTAGTTGGGTCATCTACCAAAACAAGGGGTCATGACCCCATTTTTGGTTGAGGGTCAGAAGGAGGCAATGCAGGGAGGCAAGCAGTTCATCGGTGCAACGGCAACGTCCTGCAGAGCTGTCGGCCAATGGCAGCTGTATCCAAAATTGGGTGACCCCCAAAAAAATAAGTGGTTTCCCCCCAATAAAAGACCACCCAGCTGCAGCCCCTGTACAACAAACTGGGCGGGTGACAATGTTCGGCGACCTGTTGGCACCAATTCGGGGCTACAATGAGACATGTCGCCCTCAGGATTGTCAGAATGTTATTTGGGGTGGTTCCCTTTAGGCCTCCATTTGGAGGGTAATTTTGACTCGCTTCCCCAGTTTGCTGTGTGTTCCTTTTGGTTCACCTTTGAACAAACCCCAGAAAGGAAAGACCGCACCCACTTTTTGGGGCGACCGCTGTACTGGTAAAGAATCAATTCATCTTGTTTTTAGCAAATCAACTCAACAAGTAAGAAGACCTCCTAGGTGCGTTTCATTTAAAAGGTACGAGCTGTTTGTGGTTCCGCAAATTTTGCTGCCTCTCTCATGGACCTAGACACCCTTGTGGTTTGCCCAGAAACCGGTCACACGCCTGAAACGCGAGGTTTGGTGCTCACTGGCTGCGGCTGGCTGCTGCAGAGCCAAGGCGAGCGAGACGTCCGGAGTGTAACGACCTCTTGGCCAAAGCGAATCGAGCTGTTGACCTTTTCTTGATTGACTCACTTCCTGAGTTCATGAACTTTAAACTTTTTCGGAAGACCATTTTAGTGGTAAATATAAAGTTTGGACCTTTTGTGGGGCCATCCACTGAGGCCATTGAGTTGATGGTTCCCAGCCATCTCCTTAGCTTTTTCGGTTTTCGGGTTTAGTGGTAATCTCCATTTTGCCCAACTAGTTTCGTCCATGTGCTAAATGAATACCCCTGATGGTTTTAAAATGAATCCATCACTCCTGCGAAATGTTTGATTTGTTTTAGGGGACTTAAGCAAATGAAATTGTCGTTTCCATGTGTTGGTCCATATTTAGTCGTGGCCCCAAAAGGTCTAGCTTTTGCCAGTGGTTCCAATTTGCTGAATTGAATATGTGTTTTTTCTCTGTTGGTTTTAAACGGGATCCATGACCACGAGATCCATATCTCGCCGCGCATCCGGCACGGCTTAAGGAAGTTCGGCCAAAGTTTCAACTGATTTGTTTGCGGTCCATTTCGCTCTTTTTGGTTTGAGGTACCTGTAGTTTTGTGGTTTTAAAGGGAAACCAGCAAAAAGGCGCACTTGACGTCCACCGTGGCCAGCGACCACTGCTCATGAGCCACATTGAGCCGCAGCACACACCGAAGGGCAGTTCCATCGATTCCTCCAGCGTAGTTCAGCCGACCGAGCGTTTGTCAATTGAAACTCAGGCCCATTTACAGCGAGCCAACTGGCCAACCACAAATTGCAACCGTGGTTTAAAGCTCAAGTTGTTCAAGCCTTCAAGGGGTAGTACTCTTCGGGGCCAGCATCGTTCTTCCATGATGTTCCATGGTATGGTTTTATGCCTCTCCGCAACCGCATTCTATTGTAGAACGGCCCTTACAGTTGGTGTTTTTGTTTTAGACAACCTGCCCCACTGCCCCACCCCATTTAGTTGTGTATTTGTTTCGAGGGTACCCTTTTCACCATTGCTTGAAGGGAAAGCAAAAATAAGGCCACATTCACCTCGTGGTTTGAGAATGCCATCCCCATTTTCCAATTCCCCATTTTCCCAATCCCAATTTTTCCAGCCGCCCTGCGAAAGAGAACTTTCGCCACATTTTTTCCCGCAGTCCATTCCGCGCCAGGTCTACCTTGTCATTCCAAGTCTCCTACCTTCTTCATCTTCATCGAGGCACGAAGTATCGAGCGGGTCACTCTTGACAAGCCTTCGACTCGAGAGGACAAACCTATTAAGTATGGGCCACTCACTTCCCGGTTTCCTGTGCTTTACACTTTTTGGGAAGACTATATTGAAAGGTAAAGAGCAAGCTTCAATTTCAAACTTGTCCGGATCAACTAAGGAAGTGAGCGCTAGATGCCCAAATATTGCAAGCACTGAACCACAGTAAGTGGGCTTGTACCTGAACATTGTATGATAGGAAAGATGACAATGCTGTATGCCGTCAGAACCACAACGGGACCCTTACCGGATGATTGACCTTTTTCCGGTACCCCCCCCCAAAAAAAAAGGAGGAAAATAACAAAAACATAGCCCGCCTTGAACATGAGACGTGATCTATTTCTGATGAAATGGGGATCACAAAGGGCGTGTGCGACCGAATTTGTTTCAGGTAGCTCTTTCTTTGTGAGTTGTTGATGTTCAGGTTTGTCAATTTGAGTTGTCCAGATGCGACTGATACTTGGAGCAGAGAGAACGCCGGCAAGTTCCGATGATTCTGAGCCAATGGGAAGTGAATTCTTCATGGCCCCTAATGTTAACCCAGGATTAATAATCCCCTGGTTGATTAATAGGGGGGTGTCCCCTTTTAGTGGGGATTTATGATTGTTGGAGGGAACACCCCCCTAATAGTGGGACGGGTTTATTAATCCTGGGTCAACATTAGTCACTAATGACTCTTCGGCTGCGATGGCTCCCCTTGATACTGCGGATGGTTGCGAAAACCATTTCGCGCCACCGTTCAGAAACCCTGGTGTCTGATTCGATTCCCCCTGTAGATACCAACAAGCAATGGGTTTCAACCATGGTTTCAAAGTGGTGCAAAAATTTGTCCGTCCACAGTATACCTCTGAATCATTGTAGTATGACAAGTGTGCAACTTATCCCCAGTTTCGCTTTCTAGCGGGATGGTGCCTTGATTCGCATCAGGCGAGAACGACCCTAAGGCGATGTGGAATCTGGGTACACGCAGGTGGCTTGGGCTTGCGATGTCATGCAATATGATGGACTGACTTGTTTTTGCTTCTGGGTTCATTTCGTGTTTCGGGTTGGTATATGACCATCCCCTCACCCCGTGTAGTTCCCGTCGCGGCTAGAGACGACTCGTACTTTTGAGGCACTATCCAATTTCTAAGGATAGTTGGAGAGGTTCTAGTGAAAAGTATAATGTGGGTCAACCACGATTTCTTGCTCAAGGTGATTGATCATGTTCAGTCGGGCAGTTAGTTGAGTGTCAAATCAAGAAGCCCTTTGGCGTTAGTTGCAGACCGTTTCTTTCAAGCCTGAAGGGGTTTACTGAACCGGGCAATTTGCGTGTGTTCTACGCTGGTTTCCTTTTGGCTTATCGAGAAGAAACACCCCAAAAGCGCCAACAAATAATTACATCTAGAAAAGACTCCCCCACACAAACAGAAATAAATAAATCAAGAAAGCACAGAAACCGCCTAAACCAAAAGAAACCTGGCACCAAACCGCCGAGCCTTCGAAAGCAGCCTCCAGCACCTGCTGGACGGCTCCGCGGCTCGCAGGCGTATTTGGACTTCATGGTGATCACCTGGATGCTGATGCTGGCGACGCCCGTCGTGGCCTTCGGGGTGCTGAACTTAGGCGCGGCATGGCACGGTCCGGGCGGCGGGTTTGAGGCGGCCAAGGCGGTCGGTGCTTGCAGCTTGATTTTGAGCACCCACCCCGGAAGGGCCAGGTTAGGAGGTTCTAACAGGTTTTTGTAAATCGGCCTTCCCATGCAGAATGAGGACTCCCCAAAAACAGAAGGGCCATTGAGATGGTTCTACTAGGATTATAGTACAGGAGTATATCGTTAGGATCATGTTGCTAGAGCCCAAAGTCGACTGGTTTTCGACCCCGTAGCTTTCAGCTGGGGAAAATCGTAAAAAACGCAACCTTTTTCCGTACGTGGTTTCTAGAAACTTACAGGTTCAAACAACTTGGCTGAGTGGCCCAAGGCGTATTCCAACCCATTTTCGGGACTTTATTGGAACCCACCCGACCCAAACCTGGCGATTTCGCCCAGCTGTTGGATAAATCACCTGGGACCTACCAAACTTAGTGTGCAAGTGAAAAGGTTTTTTTATGTTTCCTGTTTTCCCTCTGTGTGTGTGTGTGTTTTGTTTCTTGCTTTTCTTCTAGCATCCACATCAAGGATTCCGCTGGAGTCCATCCGCTTCACAAGGAGTCAAAAGGGTGTCCCTTTTTTGCCACGTTGGCGATGAACCATGGGAGGCATCCGAATGGGTGTGGCTCAAAATGAAACGATCGGAGGGGGTACCGCAGGGTTTTGGTCCATGTTTCACCAGGGCAACCCATTTTGGTACCGCCTTTTTTGTTTTCTCCATCACTGACAAGGATGTGTGTCCCCCATTTGGGCCTTTTCCCAATGAACGTTTCGGACGGCTTTAGATAACCGAAGGAAACCTCGGTGCAAAGGGGGTGCTCTAGTTTGGGACACACCAATTCTGGAGTCTCCTGAAAACATACTACGGAATATGTTTTCAGGTTGACTAAATATGAACTATCATCCAAAAGTTAGGCACCCTTGATGGGGTCTTTGCACATCTTACCCAGGGCTTCCAGGCAAGCCACTATAGTAGCCAGGGGTTTCCCCATGATGTAAAGCTTAGAGGTAGCCATACCGAAGGGTTACCTACTATAGTGGCTTGCACGCCTGGAAGCACCGGGTTATGAATTTGCACAGCCAGGTATGCGCCTTGGTGTGCTGCGGATACGCTCTTCCGAAGCATGCCTGCAATCAGACGGACTCGTCATGCAACTCGTTTGCCGCTTGGTTCCGGATACTGTACTGTAGGTAGCCAAGGGAAACTTCCACCACCACTTCCATGTCAGGGGAATACATCGAAGAAATGATGACAACACTTTGTGGCTGTTTGGTAACGGATCTTTGGACTTTAAATGGTTTGTTGACACTTTGTGAATTTTCTATTGGACCCACAAAAAGTTGAAGGTACCAAGGGACTGTTTGGGTAGGTAAGCATTTACAAACTGAAGGACTGACGGGTTGCTAGGAGCCTCGCGGCGTAGTTCTTTGCTTGGTTTGCTGTACACAAACTAGGGACGCTGCTGGACTCCCTGGTTTGGTCATGCTGGTTCTATGAGGGCCTAATCAAAGGTGTTCTGGGGCACTTTCAAATCCGCAAGTCATATTGGGATGATTTGTACTTGTGTAGTCCCTTGGCCTTGTTCAACATCTTTCCCGCGCTCCTACTGTTTGAAGCACAGCGCTTGATATTATATATATATATGGTAGGGGACCCACAAGATGGTTGCTTTTCCTTTTGGCTTCCCTTTGAAACAACCCAACATGGGCACCCTCAAGAGAAGACACCCACTATGTTTTTGGATCTTTGGACTTTAACTTTTGGGGAATCAAATCGGATTTTCCGTATTGGACCCACAAGTTAGCCACTCTTTGGGGGGGGGGGTCAACAGCAACCTAGAAAGGACCCTTTAAATTCCTTGCGCCACCCAAACTTGGAAACTCCGGAGGCCATTCGAATCGACAAAGACGGACACTTGATATTCTTAGAATTTGTTGGCCGCTTGGTGAGTATTGTCCGGTTCTTCGGAGGCTTCAGGGATTTGAGCTTTGGTCAAATTGTGTGGTAGTCTTTGGTTCATTTTTCGGAGGGGCATGACGGATCTCACCAATGTCTCACAGAACCTGGGACTCACAAGTTGTCGGACGACCTGGAGTCTTCATGTCCCGTTAAAAATGGGTCAATGACCCCATGATTTTGGGTAATGACCAACCAATTGTTTAAGGGTCAGAAGGAGACTCCAGGCAATTCCCAACAACACTCCCAACAAACAATCAACTCTTGGGATTCTATCTCTAGGGCCGGGCGGTAATAAGTTTCCCCTCTCCGTCTCGGAGCCGGGAACCGCCTGGAACCGGATTCCTGTGTTGCTGTTGGGTAGCACACCCGGTGAAAATCAATGACCATGCCTCGTAAAACACGCATCTTCATCCAAGACGCGGGAGAAAAGGCTCCAGGAGAGCTGCGACGAAGACCGAGTCCTATTGAGCAAGTGTGACAGGCGGTTTTTTACTGGTTTCATGCTGCTTCCAAAGCTTAAACCTTCACCAATTTTCCCAGAGGGTCACTTGGCGACTCCTTATTTACAGTCTTGAGTTTGGTGACTCGTGAAACCGGGGATTCGTCATCTGCAGATTCCTCAAAGCCGCAAACATGAGGTACCTGGAGTCTCCATGACCCTTTCAGAATGGGTCAATGACCAATCATTATTTTGGGTATTGACTCATTTGTTAGGGTCATGCAGACTCCAGACACTTAGAAGACTCAGACCCTCTGGGTTGTGTCAGAGCGCGAACTTCTTCGGTCCCTTCGGAGTTGATAGCCCCCCATGGGCCAAACCTCACGACCGCGACTGGCGCGCGCGAGTCGCGCTCGCGCGATCGCGCGCGGAAGTCGTGGCTCTCGTCGAGGAGTTGGATCTCCGGACGCTGGAGGCGGTGGACTTTAAGAAGGAGATCTTCTGCGAGCAGCTGGGCGGATTTTCTCGCGTTGTCCCTGGTTCCCGGGCTGTGTGAACCTGGAGCCTCCATGACCCTTAAAGAATGGTTGGGAGTCATTACCCCAAAATATGACTCATTTTTAAAGGGTCATGGAGACTTCAGGAAGACTTCGGGAAGGGTTTGGGGGGTTGCAAATGGACATCGCACGGAAGGACCAAAAGGAAAAAGAGCGAAGCCATTTTGGCGGCGGGGCGGGGGGGAAGGGGTGGGGGCCAAAAATCGACACACCAACATGGCCAGAGACGGTAGCCCATAGAAAAAGGTCAATGGGGTAGGTATTCGTCATTGACGAACAAATCCGCGAAAACGGCACCTTGCGGGACTCTGGCTGATGCGTTCTCCCAACGATGCGGGTCCCAGGTTTTGTCGGTGAGACTTGGCGAGAACGGGGATTTTCTGAGTTGCTGATTTCTCAAATGCGCAAAAGTGAGGTACTTGGACCCTTCGGGGTGGGATCGAAAGGAAGGTTGATGTTACTGACACGGGAGGCGGTCCACATTTTTGGGGTTCATCACAGGAGAGCACCCCCCCTTTCATGGGCCAATTTTTTCAGGGCCAGGAGGGAATGACGCCTGGATTTGAGTTGGTTCCAGTTGCCCACCTAGCTTGGGGGTGTGAAGTCTTTGGAGTGTGCCCTTGTTAAGATTGCCCAGAGGGTCCCCTTGGTACCTCATATTTTCGCGCATTTCAGGAATCTGCAATTGACAAATCCCCTTGAACTAAACTGACAAAAAGTAAATATGGGGTACTTGGACCTTCGGGAATGGAAATCAAACAGGAACGCCACCAGTTTTGGGGGGGTACCTCTATTTTGACACCTGCTCGTTTGATTTCTTTGTGAAGAAATCGGCTCGGCTTCCATGATGGACAGGGAATGTGACCCGAGCCGCATTAAGCTACAGCCTGCCGTGTCCCGCCCAGGGATGCCAACGCCTCCGAAGGCAGTGGATGGGTGAGAAGCGGGGACTCGGTGCGTTCGTCGTGAGCGCAAGACCGTCTCATGGCCGGTTGGCTCTACTTCCCTCGTTACGAAACCTGAAAACACCATGTCAAGTCGATGTGTTTTGGTCGCTCGCTTGAGGTGCAGCTTGCTTGCTTGTGGGGATAAGCAAGTGAGCACAGATTTGCTTTGAGCACATGGGAAGTGTCCAAACGTGAGAAGGATCGTTTTTTGCATTGCCAACTCAGGGCTCCAAAGGGTCCCAAAAGGTACCTTACTTGATGGTTTGATAGCCAGGGAACGAGAAATGGAATGACCCCAAGAAACGAAGAAACACCATCCCCTATGGTTTCCTTTCAGGGAATCCCCAAACAGTTCATTCCCAACACTCGGAAGCTCAAAACGACGAATCCCCGAAAGAACCAAACCCACAGCAAATTATGGGGTACCGTTTGGGACCCTCTGGGTGCTGAGCAACCCAGGTTATAACCCACTTGCACCAGGGGTGATCCCTCGTGAGTGGGTCTTTCCTCACCACTTACTTGGCCAAGCACTCTCAAGTAATACTAGCGCAAGACGGTGAATCCGGCTGTACAACACATCGGGACTCTGGGTTTGGATTCTGGCTCGCGTCGCCAGGCCAACTGCCGGCGGAGTGCTGTGTCTGCTGCGAGCACTTTAGCGCAGACAAGGTCATTCGCAGGACTCCCTGCAAGCACGTCTTCCACGAGGCTCGTTCTTTTTGGTGTTCCGGTGGCGTTGTATGGCGTGCGCGTCACGGTTGGGTGGACGAAGATGGCACAGCGCCTCCATTTGGGTGTGTCTTCCTTTGAGGGTACCTGGAGTCTCCATGACCCTTAAAAACTGGGTCAATGACCCCATTATTTTGGGTAATGACTCCATTTGTTAAAGGGTCATGCAGACAGGTACCCGTTTTGTTGGTGCTTCAAAGGGAATGCCAAACGGAGACCCGCCTATTTTGGGGAGTCAGCACATCCCAAACCTCCAGAGCTTCAACTCAATCTCCAGCTTTGTGTCCAAGATCTGTTCCTTTGAAAGTGCTCGAACGGAGTCTTCATGGGAGAGAGTGAACCAAAAAGCGACCTTTTGAAATTTTGAGGGCTCCCTTTAAAATCAACTAGCCCAAACAAGATGCGCTCTGTTTTCCCCTTTCCCCTGTTTCCAACTTTCAAGCGTGCCCCTTTCTCCCAGGCGACCCCGACGGGGCTTGCCCGAGCATTTGTCACAAGCTTAAGCCCTTTGAAATAGGGTCACCGGAAAATGCGTGTCGATCCTTTCTTTTGCCAAGGGGACACGGAACATGATCACAGTATGACTCCAGTATGGCTGGATAATTTGTGCTCATGTGATTGGTGAATGGCGCCATGAGCAAACGGAAGCTTGCTTGAAAATGGCCAAATTAAGCTTGCCCTTATCCCAACGACATCCAACGACACCTTGGCACCTCATATGTGCGGATCTTTTGCGATCGAATCCCCGTATTCACCCAGCCCAATACCGTAAACATAGGGTACTTGGACCCTGACCCTCTGGAGGACAGTAACTAAGGGTTAGTAAAGGAAACAAGTAATTTGGACCTCCTCGAAGGGTTGTTTTTTGACGTGCCTTTCTATTGACGATTTGCCCGCAGAGATGCCGTTGCAGTGCAACCATCATGGTCATGGTCAAGCGTGCTGGTAGCACGGATGCCTTTGAATCTAATCACGGACCACACTACGCAGACCTTTCTTTGGGGTGCGATCCACTTATAGGAAGCTTGCTGTTCCAGCACCCCCAATGCTCATACACAACAAGTACACGATGAGGCTCAGCGCAAACAATTGCAAATCAATCAAACGCGCAGACCTTTTCGAACGAAGTAGCGCGCGAAGTGCGTTTCCGCAGCTCCAGGCGAAAGTTGCAACGTTTCATTCCACAGTACGCGAAGCGCCTTCTTGTCAGATGTCATAGTTTTCTGTGTGTGTGTGTGTTCAGGTGTTTGTTCCAGTGTGGGAATTGGCAGGTCCTCTAGGCCGTGCAATTCCGATTTTGGATTGGAGTTAGGGAACAAATTCTCCCATTTGCCCTCAAGAAGCTGGTGGTTTAATCCCCACCAATCCAAACCACCAAGTGATTGGTCGAACTTTTGAACGACCTCCTCTGACTTGGTTGACGTTGAAAGGGGAGCAACAATCTAAATTTTAGCAGTTAAGTGGGGATTTCCCATTAAACCACAATAAGCAAACATGTAACAAGTTCCCAAACAACAACCATGCTCTTGGTCTTCTCTCTGCAAGGTCCCTAAGTGCGACTGGTTAGACGGCAGGCGTGCCTGGCCAGATGGCTACAGGCTGGGACGGTCTTTCCGGTTGGACCTTAGAAGAACGGCGCCGTCTAGTGCCCAGTCCAGGCTGATGGTTGCTTGCTGTTTGTTTCCAAGATGAATAACCCTCTTCAAGTTGAATCAAGGGGAACACCACTGTATTTGGGGTAATGATTGCTGATTGGTGAACCCCTCCGCAACCCCCCCCCCCCTTCCTCAGGTCGTCAAGGTTCAAGGAAACAACACAGTGATTGTTGTTCCCTGTGCAGGTAACCAAGGGAACTAGATAGAAACATCAGAAGAACTTGGCTGATTGACAAAAAAGGCATTTCCGAATGTAAAAGCAAGAAGTGGCTCACGTGAGTTTTGCAACATCGTGGCCCTTGCCTTTTGCGTTTGCATGACCATTTGGCAAGTACTGGGAGCAAGACACCCAAGCGGACCCCTTGAATGCCTTTTGTCAAACCCAAAACACTTTGCTGCAAGTGGCCAGCTTTTCGCACCTGCCTGTACACATGTACTGCACAGAGTCCTGTTTGTTGACAAAACACTTTCCCTTTTCGGGTGTTTGTTTCAGATTCGTTTTTAGTGCAAACCACCATCGGCCTCTTGTTGTGATGTGAATGATCAAGTGTCACAGTGCGAACTGTTTGGTTTGTTGTTCTTGGCCCACGTGGTGATCTTGAGGGTTTGCTTTCTTGGCACGTTTGCGTGCGTATACTCCATGCTCACTTGCAAGCCGACCAATTTATTTTTTGTGGTTTCCCCTTTTGGGTTAGTGGCCCGAGTCAGATCACATGTCTTCCCATCCTGAGCGTTTCTCCCGGACTTGCCGCTAGTCGCCAGGTCAACGACTCGTGCCCGGTGTGCCGCGTGAGCCTCCAGGCCGGATGCCACTGGAACCCGGAGGGGTGACCGGAGGCGAGGGGTTTTTTCCCAAGGCTTGTTTGGCGGGAAAACCGCGTTTGGGGCCAGCAACGGGGTCTAAACCAGGGTTTTTGTTGGCACCCTAATCGTTTTTTACAGGTTCTGAAGAGGAGAGGGGGGTTTCCCAATGCTGCCTACTTTAGTCAAGGCTCGATTTGCATTGAGAGTGGCTGATTCCACATTTGCTGCTTCTCACCCTAGTTTCCCTCGAAAAGGGTTGCTTGGACTAGTGGTTTGGAGGTTAGAGGATGGTGTCATGCAGTTATCCTCTACGGGAACCAGGGGTTCAAATCCCCAAACCACCAATCCAAACAACCAAGCAAGGGGTACCTGGTAGTAGATGATTGGCATAGTTGCAAGTGGGCACGATGGTTGGTTGATTTGTCATCATGGCTAGAACTTACGATGTCTCACATCCCAAAAGTTTCTGGACAGCAGTAAACAATACCCTGGGGTTCAAGCCCCAATAAAACAAAGGTTGACCCAATTTAGATGATGACAATTCTTAGGAAAATTATGGTGGCTATGCGAACCACCATTGTTTTAATGGTGGTTTGAACCCCAGGGAGTCGTTTTTTTTTTTTTGTTTTAAGAATGTGCTTGGCCAGTCCGCGGAAGCGAACATTCCTTCGCAGATAGCGGGCTGCACAAGTCTACCCCTGAAGGTTTATGTTTCGGGGCCTCACATGTTTAGGTTGGTGAGTTAGGATTGAACATTTGCCCAGAAAGCTAGGAACGGCGTAAGCAACGGACAACCCGTACACCCTGGGGTTCAACCCCCATTAACACAAAGGTTGACCCGGTTCAGATGATGACAATCCTTAGGAAAATGATGGTCCTCCATTTTTTACATGTTAGTTTGAACCCCAGGGTACATGGTTCTGTAGCTGGACTACTCCAAAAAGCGCATGGAGGCCAATGGAGGGGAATCTATCGAAATGCAGAAAGCAAAGCTAATCCTGCCCATTGCTTGGGCATGTGTCAAGACTATGAGCGTGCTTGGTTAGTCGCCCTCCAAATTCCAGATATACCACCTTTTTTGGGGTATGTCTTTCATCGCCTGGCAGGCAAATACCTCCTTTTACGCAAAGCTTCACTGTTCTTGGCATGTTTTTTTTGTGTTTTTGGTTCTGTTCATTTTTACTGGGGGGCTGCAAACAAATCAGTCAGTTGTTTGTTATTATACCAAGAGTCGAGATGAAAGGGTCGACCTCATACCCTCAAAAAGTGAGCTTGTAGGCACTCCATCAAATCCCGTGTCAGCGATGTGCCGCATCTTCCCGCAGGCCCTCAAAGGGGGGTTTTTGTATTACGCCCTGGGAATACACCCACTAGGCATTGACCCCAAAGGGAAAATTCCGGATAAGACCATGTTTCGAACCATTCTGGGCGTAATCCTGGGGTGTAATACAAAAACCCTCAGGCCATGGAAACCGGTAAAAGGGCTTGGTAAATGCGGGGATTCGCCAAATGCAGATTCCTCAAATCCGGAAATATGAGGCAGGGAGCCTTTGGGCTTGTGACCGGACAATCTTGAAAATCAAACCAATTTGTTGCTCTATCCCAAGCCCCAGATAACCTTGCGCTGGTTGCCAGTCCCAGTGCTTCCAGTGCTTCGCCACTTAGCAGCTAGGGGTTTTCCCATTGAAAACCTGGTTTTTCCATCCTGAAGTTCTGGGATTTACCCATTGAAACACAGGTCCCAATGTAGATGGCAATCCTTAGGAAAGTTATGGTGTGAACCCCCATTGTTTTCATGGTGGTTTGAATTTCAGGAGAAGGGTTACCTGCTTTTGTGGCTTGCCTGGCAGCTCCGGAGTGCTCGCTTTGCTTCGGAAACGGCCATGTTCTGCAAACCCGGCAGAAAGCCAACTTTCTTGGGAAAGCCAGTCATCTTCCGGTGCACCATCTTCAAGAAAATTACATGCATCGTTGAAAAAGACTATCATTTCATATTTGCAGCTCCTCCCTTTTGAAATATGCACAGAATGCAGCCATGATGGAGTATGGTTGCATTTTGAGGGGTCCACCATCTTCTCACTTCCTGAGTTCCTACCTGGAGTCTCCACGACCCTTAAATCATGGGGTCATTACCCAAAATAATGGGGTCATTGACCCATTTTTAAGGGTCATGGAGACTCCAGGTAGACCTTAGTCACTTTTGGCGCAGACCACCTACCCCCACCCAACAGAAGACTGCGTCAGGCAGCTTTGGACCCAGAGGCCAAGTAGTCGAGGGCTGCTGGGCAGGAGTTTCGGAAGGTCACGAGTGCTGGTTTACTCACTTCCTGAGTTCATGATCTTTAAACTTTTTGGGAAGACCATTTTAGTGGTAAATATAAAGTTTGAACTTTTTTTGGGCCATCCACTCAGCAAGTGAGTTTAGCTTTACTGTTGGCCAAGTCTTTGGCTTTTGTGATTGGTTTTTGGGTTCCGTTCGTTTGCAGGGGCTGTAAAAGACTTGCCTGGAGTCTCCTTCTGACCCGAAAAACCAAATGGGTCAAAGACCCCATCATTTTGGGTAGTGACCCCATTTTTTGAGGGTCATGGAGACTCCAGGTTGTTGGTGTTTAAGTTTTTGCCTGGATAGCCAGTTGCTGTTTTGTTTTATCCCCATGCACTTTACCCCAAAAACCGATCGCACCAGTGCCTGCAAAAAGCAGCAACTTGGCTATCCAGGTGGCTTTTAGTTGGTTTTTGGTTCCGTTCGTTGGCAGGGGCTGTAAAAAATATGGCCATGGGTCAAAATCCAAATCGTACCCCCAGTGAACATACCAATCCAACCACTAAAGTAGGTCCCAAAATGGGGGGTGAATTCACCTACCCCAAAATGGTGTCCCGTTGGTTGTGACAACCACAGCCATTCTAAGGGTTGGACAGTTAGATCGCCAGAATTTGGTTTTCGGACTCCGGAGGACCGTCTCGGGGTCTCCGGATCCGATTTTTCTCGGCCCAAGGCGCGAATTTCGGTTGGATCTGACCGGATCGGGTTTTCCCCTGGTCCATGTTTCGCCAAGGCCCCAAAATGTGACCAGCTTCTTTTTCCAGGTCCCATGGGCGCAACTGAGGTTGTAGCTTCTAAAATGGGAAATGGTTTCCTCACCAAAAAGGAACCACCGCCTGATTTGTAGTGCCACTGATGAGTAGTCCACAGGTTTTAGTCTACTTTTCCATTTACCAGGGTTGCATTGTGGGCCCCTGGAGTATCCTGACCCAAGTCAAAAATGGGCTTGGGTCATGACCCCTTTCTCGGGGGTCATGACCCCTTTCTCGGGGGTCATGACCCCTGTCTTGGGTCATGACCAACCATGTCTGACTCGGGTCGTGGTGTCTCCAGGGGTCAGGGGGGTACTCCCCCCGAGAAAAGCAATCGTTTCAACTCACAACAGGGGCTGGGTTTCACCCGTGAAAATGATCAAACGGATTATTCCGAGGTTGACCAATTCGTTGCTTCCTGTCTCGGGCAATTTGGCTGCGAATTGTGACAAGGCGCCCGGACTCGTTTCGTGCCAAGTCTTATTCCCCTTGGATTTGAACCGGGCTCTTCCACCTGAAGTCTGCTTTCGACCCCCAGGGTTTCCTGCTGACCAAAATCCGATTTGCACCAGCTAGGTGCTTATCCCAGCATAGGGTTGTAGTTATCCCAACTGTTGGTTAAACACACAATGTGTTGTGTCAATGTGTGCCGACTTTTCATTGTGCGTTTTTTTTTTGGGGTGGACATATCAAGAACCCTGTTCTTGTGGTACTTGGGCAAATTGAGGAACAAGCAGCCTGCGAGGGTCCAAAAAGGGTCCCGTTCATGGTCACCAGGTTGTTGAAGGTCAATTCGTAACCCTGTTTCGAGTTGATACTTGGATGTTCAACCAATTTAGCAAGGTTATACTCATGGCTATAAATGGGGTCACTGGGCTTCGTCTTCTTATAGCCATGGCTATAACCTACGTACTAACTTGTGCGAACACCCCTCAAGTTCGGAGGTTGCACAAATTGTGTTGTCCTCAAGACACGGATTCGAGTCCCAGACGGTGCTTACGGCTTTCGTTTGAAGGTTGAGCCCCTGCACCAACCTATTCTGGGGCTTCCCATTCCTTTCCCCAGAGGCAGCGTTTCACTTGGAAGAGTGGTACTCGTTTTTCTGTTCGCGCAGTTCTTCTCAAAAAAAATGCACACCTGACCAACCAACCAAAAAGGTCACATCATACAACAAACTGACCAACTGACCTAGTAAGCAAAAACGTGACATCCTCCCCAAAAATGACCGACTTGCCAAAATGGTGTTGCTTTTGCTTGATACTGTGGATGGACAAAATCCTGCACCACCTGAGAACCCCTGGAATGATGATTCCCTTGCAAATACCAACAAACGTTATGGTTTCAACCATGGCTTTAGAATGGTGCGAAATGGATTTTGTCCATTCACAGTATCTGAGTTGTAGCAACACCCCCGGTTAAAACCCCGTCCAACTGCTCCAGCCGAGGAAAGAAGCGCGCGCCTCAAGCGCCGGGTGAGCCCTGCAGCTCACCGAATCCCCTCCATGGGAGGCCTCTTTTATCATGAATCCGTATGTTGGTCACTATGGATGCATTGATTTACCTAGAGTCTCCAGGACCCTTTGTCAATGACCCCTTAATTTTGGGTAATGACCAACTATTTTTTAAGGGTCATGGAGACTCCAGGTATACATGCGGAGTTGTTTTACTTCTGATTGCTATGCTGTTTCTTGTTCCAGATACAAGTATGTCGCAAAGTGTGTGACGCTATGCTCAAAGAGCTTAGCCCAAGCTCGCTTCGCTTCGACAAAAAGTTTGTGCCTCCGCGAGCCGGGGGGGTGCTCGCGGACTAAGCAAACTTTGGGCCAGTTCCCCAGAGGGTCCCTTGGCACCTTCTGAGGAGGTACTTACCCCCAAAAGACATCCTCCAGACATCGACATAAGCCTTTTTTATGCTCGAGAAAGGAAAAGGGGCGGTGCCCCCTTTGGAGGTTTCAATGGATTTCACCACCAGCAATTTGATCCATTTTTTGGCACGTGTTGAAACCTGGCGCCTTTAGGTGCACGGAAGTGAATTGGCAACCAGCCGGGTCCCAACGACTGCTTCATGGGTCATGTAAAACAAGTGGCAGTCGGGGGTTCTTCATGTTGGGCCGAAAAAACTGACGCCTTACTTGCACATGTGCTTAAGAATATGTGTATTTTTCCCTGGCTTCAAAGGGAATTGAATTCACTACTGGACACATTTTCCATTTTTTCCAGGGGACTTCTCAGCAAACGGACGCTTTTGGCTGTTGGTCTCCTTCAATTCCAAATTTACTGGAAGCCTGCATCTGTTATAGCCTTTAGGCTACACTACATATGGGTGTGGCCTGCGTCAAGCAGGGTTTAGTCTATTGTCCCTAAAAATCCAGGTGCCATTTCGGGTACATTTGTTTGCGCCAATGAAGCAGAAACTGCTACGCTTTTCTGTAGGGGTCCCAGGATGTGGGCCAAGTTTCGACTCAAGTCAATTTTTGTTTGGTGCTGAAGGGTCTCTCTGAAATGGCCCATGTTCAGCGGAACAGGGGAGGATGTGTGTGAGGGAACCCACCTGTTTTCTGTGAAGTCACTCACATCCCCAGCTGGGCTTTCTACTTTCAAGAAGATCATACTTTAGTGGGAACAAAACCCAGTGCTGGTAACCAGGTATGACCACCTCTAGGTTTTACATCATGGTTTTCCTGATTACCTACTATGGTGGTAACTAGAAGCACTGAGTCTGTGCGAAACAAAAAAAACAATCCGACTTGTTTCGCTTGTCCAAGTTGGATAAGAGGAATCGGCCACTCAAACTGATTCTTTTCCGGTATCACAGAGCTTTCTCCGCATCTTTGTACCTAGCGACAACACATCAGCACTCCTCCGAGTCACTTGCAGTTGTAAAGTGTTCTTGTAGAAACTGTTTTGTGAACTTAGGGTTTGTGAATCAAGAACTAAGTATTCATTAAATATATATGGGTTTGTCCTTTTTTGGTGTGTCGAGTTGCTTCAAAAGGCAGAAGGTGGGACCTCCCCGAATCATACCCCCGAATCATACCCCCGAATCATACCCCGAATCATACCCCCGAATCATACCCCTTAAAACGTATGCTGCAAGATGCTACTGTTCTTCTACCGTTTTGTGTTGTTCACTGTCTCCACAACAACCACCACCAGCGCTACCCAATACTACCACTACCACTGCCACTGCCGCTACTACTACTACTACTACTACTACTCCTACTACTCCAATTACTACTACTACTGCTACTACCACTACCACTACTACTACTACTACTACTACTAGTACTACTACTGCTACTACCGCGACTACGAGTATTACTATCACTACTACCGCTGCTACTACTACTATACTGCTTCTGCTTCTGCTTCTGCTACCCTTACTACTAACTACTACGACTACAACCTTTACTGCTACTTCTACTACTACGACTACTACCTTTATTTCTACTACTGCTACGACTACAACCTTGACTACTACTACTACTACTACTACTACTACTACTACTACTACTACTACTACTACTACTACTAGTACTACTTCTACTACTACTATTCCTGCTGCTGCTGCTGCTGCTACTACTCACTACTACCACATACATCATTCTGAGTCTGTATCAGTGCCGTTTTGCACCTAGCCGAATCACACCCGCGAATCATATCCGAATCATACCCGGACAATGAGCTTCCCCTGCCAAGGCTAGTGCTAAGTCTTTTTCACAGCGTCCGCACCACTACAGCCGCTGCTGCTTATGCTACGGCTGCTACCACTACTTCTGCAACTGCTACTACTACTACTACCACTACTACTGCTACTACTACTACTACTACTACTACCACAGCTACTACGAGTTTGTAATCAGTGCCGTTTTGCACCTGGCCGAATCATACCCGCGAATCATACCCGAATCATACCCGCGCAATGAACTTGCCTTGCCAAGGCCAGCGCCAAGTCTTTTCAAAGCTTCCGCGCCACTACGTCGCTGCTTCTACTGTTACTACTACTACCACTACTACTACTACTACTACTACTACTACTACTACTACTTCCACGACTACTAGTACTACTACTACTACTACTACTACTACTACTACTACTACTAGGACTACTTCTTCTACTATTTACTACTACTCCTACTACTGCTACTACTACTACTACAACAACAACAACAGCAACTACTACTACTACTACTACTACTACTACTACTACTACTACTACTACTACTACTACTACTACTACTACTACTACTACTACTACTACTACTACTACTACTACTACTAACTACTACTACTACTACTACTACTACTACTACTACTACTACTACTACTACTAGTATTGTTACTACTACTACTATTGTTACTACTACAATATTACTACTAGTACTACTACTTCGGCGACTACTGCTACTACTACTACTGCTGCTGCTGCCGAAGCATACCCCCGAATCATACCCCGAATCATACCCGCGAATCATACCTGCGAATCATACCCCGTACTCAAACCTTCCTGCCCGGCCACCCTAAAAAAAGACAAACCCATATATATATATATATATAGGTCCCACGAATCCAGTAGATCCTGTTTCCACTATTTGTAACCAGAACATTTGCCCTAAGTTTGTAATTCCATGGTGCTTTTCTCTGCTCGTTTGCCGGTTCAGTTTCAGACTCAACTGGTGGTTCGGCCTCGAGCCAGAGAGGGGGGAGAGCCATCTTTGGTGCATTTCGCCAAGGGATGTTAGGACTGAACCACTTTTTGCCAAGGAATTAATTTGGGGTGTCCATCCAAACCACTAAAAGTTACTCACTTTTAGCCGGGGAGCTGAAGGCAACCGAGTTGGTGCCTCATATCGTGGATGGTTGAAATCGAAATCCAGAAATCGCAATCCACCGAACTCAGAAGCCCAAAGAAGGTCTGATTCGAGTCCCCAACGTAAATACCAAAAATGAGTGAGTGGGTTTCAGCCATGGTTTCATTTGGTGGTGCGAAATGGATTTCTCAACCATCCACAGTATTTACGGAATGGGGGAATTTGTAAGCGACGAACCTCCTTGCACCGTTGCCCAAAGCCGGTCTCTATGGGGAAAGAATGGTTTCTCTGGGACTGGAGCAGGCAGTTGGGACTCTGTCAGGAGGAAGTGGAGCGACTCCGGAGGCGCCTTTTTGCGTGACAGGGTGAGAAGCGAAGGATCCTGGGTGAGTCAAACTTGGGCTCAGGACTTGAGGATCAAAGTGGGCGGAAACGATGGGTGAAGAGAAATGCCTGGAGTCTCCGTGAACCTGGAAAAATGGGGTTGTGACCGGTCAGACTCCAGGTATGGCAAAGAGAAAGGTAGGCAATGAGAACGAATGAGAACCATGATGGTAAAGGGAAAGACAGCTGAAGACAATCATGGGTCAAGAGATTGAACCTCAAAACAATGACGAACCCGCGTGGGCCATGAGCACTGTCATTTTTCGTGTCGCTCGAAAAGAAAGGGTCCGATTGAATGTGGAAAACGGGTGACCTTTTTGACTTCCCTTTCAGAACTTGGTTAAACAATACTGCTTACATCCGCAGTTTGAAGAGCCCTCACATGGAACCGAAATCGGCCCCCGACACCTCGCCGCAGGTCCTTTTTTGGGGGAGGCCTTGTTGGGCACATCCAAAGGAAAAGCCACCATTTAGAGGGCTCCTATACGAACAATCCTTTGCTAACAGGAGTGCAATCAATACCTGGAGTCTCCCTCTGACCCAAATCAAAAAATGGGTCAATGACTAACCATTATCCCCCCCAACAACTGCATTTTGTCCACCAGGTCCTAAACAAATCCCAAGTCGTTCGTCAAAAAGCCGCTGGCTGCTATGGACCCGGGTGCCCAGCATCTCAACCCTTGAGGCGCCCTTTGACACCAAGGGCTTGCCTCTCCGCCGTCGCTTGCCTCGGTCAGTCGCTCAGTCGGTCAGGGCCAACGCTGCCTTGGAGGAAGAGCTCCGGCAACGGCCAAAGGCCTGCGGGGGGCTCACTGCGGGGGGCCGAAAGGCGGGTGGACGAATGTCACACCCTTTGAGACTAACCTGCATCCAATCCAATTCCAAGAGGGTCGCTACCTCATATTTGATGTGAGGAATCCGACCCTGAGTTTTGTTTGCGACTCCGGATTGATAAAACCCTGGTGGATAAATAGGGTGTCACCAAAAGTGGCCTCATGGGCTCACTTTTGGAGATTTTTGGAGGTCCAATTCGAATCTTTGTTTTGAGTTCGTCTGTGAGACTAACCTCCATCCAGAATTCAATCCAATCCAATTCGAATCTCGCCTCAAGACGCCCGACTCTTTGTCACTGTGCCCAGTGGTTGCACTTTGACGGGGTATTGCTTAGCTTTTGGGGGTGGGATCAACATGTAAATCATCGGTTAGAGGGTTTTGGAGTACCGTCCTGTCCACTCGCATGAGACCTGACTGAGGGGTCCAATGTTTTTCCCTTAAACGGGACCCTCTGGAGGGTTCCAGGTTCGGGTATCGCTTGAATGTGGACCCGGCACGTGGCGCCATGTGGCGCCCATTTGTCCTTTTTTTGGGTAAGGCTTGCCCTCTA